TAGGGAAAACAAGATCGAGCCTAAAGCTTCTTTATAAAAAATGATGGCCGGTGGGGCAGTGCAGCAAAACGGGATTTTCTCCAATCCGCATCATCACAATCAACAGCCGCACATGGAGTCTGATCCCCCCGATTCCCGCAAAAGACCCCTGGAGACCCCGACGGAGGCCAGCAGCACCAAGCGCACAAACACAGGAGGTAGGATACAAATGTTATATACTAGATAGGCAACTCGCTTGGCAATGAATTAGCGACGCTTCCGAAAGACAAGTGCTCTGATGTAAATCCATGAAAGTATAATAGTTTATGGCAGGTTGATTTTCGCTTTCCACGGAGCATCTCGCCATCTAACGCGGTCATGCTTCACCAGACATGTGCACCTGGGATTATATTCATATTTACAGTTCGCGTCCATTTTAAGTGGCCCAGAATGGTTTTACGCACCTACGACAGTCGTTTACCAAACACATCCTCAGTATTCCTAAATCAAAGGATTATGTAGGCTATGGGATAAATTGGCAGTACATTCCTAAATATAGGCTAATATCATGAGCACGTACCCAAACATTAGAAAACATGGCTCGTGCGTTTACGCATCCTTGCTATCACCGCAGATGACCTTGCGTTATGATCTTGTTCCTTGAATCTATAATCGTTTATTTTGAAAACTCCAGTTTTGAATGATAAACGATTATAATATTTTTATGAGATGTCTACAGTGGTAAGAATTATTATACCACTTGCACTTAAACATTTAATAGGCCTATAATATGGTACTCAAAATGAAGAGTAAAAGCCTGAAATGTGTGTATACATTTGTATGCTTCACCTGCATCACTGATGTTCGACATTTCAGCACTCTGAAGTGCACTAGAGCCTTCAGTATTTGACTGTAGTCTATTGTTTGAACTGGACCCATGCTTGCTTGTTAATTATGCATTCCGGCAGATGCCATAAGAAGTATTGTGTACACTTGTACACTTGTCTGCTAAACTGTTAGGCTAATCATATAATTAATAGGTTAAAAAACAAAATATGCATGTATTTCTTAACCCTACATGTTTTTTTGTAGCCAATTGGTAGATCTTAGTTTGGTAGCAAGTTAACAGTTTAAAACATTGTTTTTCTGATCTGTGATGGTTAAATCCCCACCTTTAGTGTCATTAAGCAGAAAGCCATCTTATTTGGGTCTTTTTGAACTGCATATTAAAGGGAGAGAATAAGATATAAAGCATCTTAATATTAGCAATATTAGCCTAGATAATATATCGGCTGTCAATAGGCTATTTGTTTTCAGTAAAAAAAGTGCAAGAACAATTTATTTCACCCGTTAAAGTGTTTTTCAGTAAAAATAAGTATTTGTAGTTACAGTTAAAGGGTTAATCATGGCGCATAAATGAAGCGATTGGCAGATGTTTACATGTGAAAGAATCGATGCAGAAAGCATTATGAATTGTCAGTCAGAAGAAGCTTGCTGGACTCGTGGGAGGCATAACCTGCAGATCCATTTGCTCAAATGAAAAGACTTTAATGCTTAAGAGATCTGGGCTTCACTGGAATTTATTTGCCAAGAGGAATTATTCTATAGGGTTTCCACAGTTATGGCAGGGAATCTGGATATATTAATATTGTAATTTCCAGGCCTGAAACTGTCAAAGAAATTTGTAAAATCTTGAAATGTCATGGAAAGATAATGGAAATTTCTACTGGTAATATACAATTTTTTTTTTTTAGGTATTGAATTATATAACTATATAATTGCTCTTTGTGCATGCAATCTCTATAAAATAATTGAAACCCTTAGCCAGTTAAGTAGTTTAAAAATCATGAAAATTCACTGGCCAAAAGCTGTAGGAGCCTTGATTCTATTTAAATAATTAATTTATTCCAATTTGTTTAAAATAGAGTATTTATATGGTATCACATATAATTACAATAGTGTAGAAGGATGAATTAATATGACACTGTTGCTCTAATTATTAAGCATCTATAATTATATTAATTCATCCATATTTATTAACTTAAATGGATCTCTGGAAAATTATAAAATAGAAATGCTGAATTAAAAAAAAAAAAAGAATATAATCTGGTTGAATCTGTTTAAAGTCACCATGTACCCGTAGTTTCCGCTTTGTGGTTTATATTTAAACACAAGACGTTACACGGGCAGATCATCGGCCAAGTTAGTGTGAATCTGAACCATTTATGTAGTTTTTTGGACCGCTTTTGAGTTGAAAATAAGGATCCAGTCCTACGACAGTATTATGTCTATTTTGTTTTCTTATAACATTTACTGTCTTTGATTTGGTGTTTACATACTTGTAGGATTAGTATCATATTTTGTGTGACTTGCATATTGTTTTAACTCTTTATTTATTGGATTTAATTATGATGTGGATGACAAATGATTGCATTTTAAAGGCTGCCTGAAAAAAAAAAAAGTTATAGGCATTAAGATGAAAGTCAGTTGGCTTAAAACCAAGAATCATTTTCCTGCCAATTGATCATTAAAGCTTCGACTTCAAGTTCACCACAGAGCCTCTCTCCACGTTCCCTCATAAGATGTAATGTTTTAATTTTGTAAATGGATGGACTGGCACAGTACAGTGCTTCCATTTACAAAAGGTTGTTTCAGGGGATACAGATGTCCTAGCTGGACGGCGTGAGTGGACTGTGACCCTCTAAGGCTGTAAGAAAGCATGGAAGTGTGTGTGTGTACGATCCTGTGTTGTTTTTACTATATAAAGACATTTTTGGATGCTGCTTGGCACTGAATTTGCGACTAGCCTCTTTTTTAGATTCTTTTGCTTGTGCATTTCTGCCCGCAGGATTAGAAAATAGATGTGGGATCTGTCTTAGAAGGGGTTGTTACATAACCATGATTTGCAAGCTGTGTTTGAAGATTCACCTCCACCCCCTCAGACATTTATACGGGGGACCAATAACCGATCCGTCGCTGTCGTCCACCTCATTCACTCATATCCTACAATGCATTTACTCCCACTGGTTTTCAGATTAATCGCACAGGTTTTTGCTACGGCTGTTTTTGATAGGCTCAGCAGAAATACATTTAGGGTGCACTGCGTTCTGCTCCCCCATCATTTGTTTGTTTCGCCTCTAATCACGGTTCTGGGCTGGGGCGATCATTACTTCTTCCTCCCCGAGTCCATCTCTCTCATTTCCCATCAGTAGCGGCAAGTCATTGATTATCCATGCAACCCTCTGCCTATTGATCACCGTACGATCACGAAGAGGGCGCTGCTTCGTTTTTTTTCTTTAATGCACTGCGTCAAAGAAAAAAAAAATTTCTCATGCAGGATGGCGAGGATTTGGGAGGGCGTTGTAAAAGGCGGCCCCACATTGGATGATTTGCTCGCCTCTCTCGGCTCGTCTGCCGTGGAATGGAGGACGGGACCTGAGATGAATATGGATGAGATGAATGAAAGAAGCAATGCGAAAGCTTCTCCTCGAGCCTTTGCGCATGTTAGAACAAAGCATGCTGCTTTCTCTCACGTGCAGCAGAAACTGAGTAGTATGTTTTAGTCCGAGCGCAGTGTTTATATCAGAAGCCATTTTGGTCAGGCAGTTGCTTGGACAGCCATGCAGGGAAAGTGGTCCTTTCATCACTCCGCTAAAATTAGATGTATGTTTGTTGTACTTAAGCACAAATGCTATGTAACCCAATTATGAATCTGAAATCTAATGTGGTATAAATCTACAATGCAAACATGAAAGAAGAAAAAAATAGTTCGTAGCTTTATTGCTTTGTGCATGTTTTTTAAGGCCCCCAACATAAGCCCACAGGAACCTTCAATCCTCAAGCTGATGTTGCTTGTTCTGAACCACGGCTCTCTTGGGAGCCTCTAGCAACCAATGATTTGTGTTTACACCTACTGGTTTATTATGAGTAATGCCCATTTGGGCTTTTTTATTAATTATTCTGACTTCTCAGAGAGTGTGATGCGTGCAGTCATATAGATGTTCACACAAGACAAGGCTTATTAAGATATTAAGTAGGCTGGAGGGAAGAATAACAGCATACCAACTTGTTCTTGTTTTGTTCCCGGTGTAGCACAATGGGAGGGACTCATTTCCCTCAAAGGCACTGTTACGGATATGCGTGTAGTGTAGTCCACTGATTTTTCTCAGCCAGAGCTTTGTATTGACAAGTGACAGGAAATAGGCTTGATCTAACTCAAACTTGGGCAGTAGATGCTCCATGTTTTAGAAAAGAAGAAACTGAGAATGTCTTTTAAAACTAAACTGATTTTGGTTTACTGTAGGCTTATTATAAAGGAATATTCTGGGTTCAGAACCAGTTAAAGGGGTCATATGATGTTGCTAAAAAGAACATTATTTTGTGTATTTGGTGTAATGAAATGTTTATGTGGTTTAAGGTTAAAAAAACACATTATTTTCCACATACTGTACATTATTGTTTCTCCTCTATGCCCCGCCTTTCTGAAACGCGTCGATTTTTACAAAGCTCATCGGTCTGAAAAGCAAGATGTGCTCTGATTGGCCAGCTATCCAGTGCGTTGTGATTGGCCGAATACCTCAAGCGTGTGACGGAAATGTTATGCCCCTTACCATACTGTGATGCCGTGTCCCGGCTCGAGCAACGAGACAAAAACATTAAAACCCATTATAAACGAGGCATTTGTTGCATCCAGTGGGGACATAATTACGGATTATAATGACTTATACAGGTACATCTCAAAAAATTAGAATATCATGAAAAAGGTCAATATTTTTTGTCACTCATTTCAGAAAGTGAAACCCATATATTATATAGATTCATTACACATAGAGTGAAATATTTCAAGCCTTTATTTCTTGAAATTTTGATGATTATGGCTTACAGATAATGAAAACCCAAAATTCAGTGTCTCAGAAAATTAGAATATTACATAAGATCAATAAAAAAAGGATATTTTAAACAGAAATGTCAGGCTTCTGAAAAGTATGTTCATTTCTATGCACTAAATATGTGGTTGGGCCTCCTTTTGCATGAATTACTGCATCAATGTGGCGTGGCATGGAGGCAATCAGCCTGTGGCACTGCTCAGGTGTAATGGAAGCCCAGGTTGCTTTGATAGCAGCCTTCAGATCATCTGCATTGTTGGGTCTGGTGTCTCTCATCTTCCTCTTGACAATACCCCATAGATTCTCTATGGGGTTCAGGTCAGGCGAGTTTGCTGGCCAATCAAGCACAGTGACACCATGGTCATTGAACCAGCTTTTGGTACCTTTGGCAGTGTGGGCAGGTGCCAAGTCCTGCTGGAAAATGAAATCAGCATCTCCATAAAGCTTGTCAGCAGAAGGAAGCATGAAGTGCTCTAAAATGTCCTGGTAGATGGCTGCGTTGACTGTGGACTTCAGAAAACACAGTGGACCAACACCAGCAGATGACATGGCAGCCCAAATCATCACTGACTGTGGAAACTTCACACTGGACTTCAAGCAACATGGTTTCTGTGCCTCTCCACTCTTCCTCCAGACTCTGGGACCTTGATTTCCAAATTAAATGCAAAATTTACTTTCATCTGAAAAGAGGACTTTGGACCACTGAGCAACAGTCCAGTTCTTTTTCTCCACAGCCCAGGTAAGACGCTTCTGACGTTGTCTCTGGTTCAGGAGTGGCTTGACACGAGGAATGCAACATTTGTAGCCCATGTCTAGGATTTGTCTGTGCGTTGTGGCTCTTGATGCGTTGACGCCAGCCTCAGTCCACTCCTTGTGAAACTCCCCCAAATTCTTGCTGGTGCACCTTTTCCTACCACACTTTTTCCTTCCACTCAACTTTCTATGAATATGCTTGGATACAGCACTCTGTGAACAACCAGCTTCGTTAGCAATGAAATTTTGTGGCTTACCCTCCTTGTGGAGGGTGTCAATGACTGTCTTCTGGACATCTGTCAAGTCAGCAGCCTTCCCCATGATTTCCCCAAACCTTTGCAGGTGTTTTGAGGTAATTAGCTGATTAGGGTGTGACACCATGACTGTCCAATATTGAACTTTTTCACAATATTCTAATGTTCTGAGACACTGAATTTTGGGTTTTCATTATATGTAAGCCATAATCATCAAAATTTCAAGAAATAAAGGCTTGAAATATTTCACTCGATGTGTAATGAATCTATATAATATATGGGTTCACTTTCTGAAATGAGTGACAGAAAATATTGACCTTTTTCATGATATTATAATTTTTTGAGATGTACCTGTATTCACTACATTACTGCATGGAAACAAGTGAATTTTACGTGAACGCCTTTTTTGTTTCACACTCTGTGTGAACAGACCTTCTGTTCTGCGCTTTGTGTTACCCAATAAATACTCTGTCATTAATATTTCCTCAGCGACCAGCACGGATCAGCTCCAAGCATGACGAAGCGGATATCGTCCTCTTTTGGAAGGCCAAACAAAGTAGTTTCGCTTTCACAACGAAACACACATCGTCACTGGAGGCCGGCTTGAGTGAGCGGCGGCTGGCGGACTTGAGAACGGTGCGGCCGGCGGATTCGACAAAGGAGCGGCCGGCGGGCTTGAGGCAACCACATGTGACGACCCCGGGCTGGACTCCGCTTCGTCCAC